TTCAGGAGCTGTCCTTCCAGTGAGCACTCAGGGTTGATTTCCTTCAGAACGGCTAGGTTTGTTTTCCTTGCAGTCCAGAGTACTCTCAAGAGTCTCTTCCAACATCACAGTTCAAAAGCATCAATTCTTCAGCGGTCAGCCTTCTTTATGGTCCAGCTCTCACCTCCATATATCGCTATTGGAAAAACCATAGCTTTGACTATGCAGACCTTTGTCGGCAAGGTGATATCTCTGCTTTTTAAGATGCTTTCAAGGTTTGTCATTGCTTTCCTCCCAAGAAGCAGGCGTCTTTTAATTTTGTGGCTGCTGTCTCCATCTGCAGTGATCATGGAGCCCAAGAAAGTAAAATTTGTCACTGCCTTCATATCTTCCCCTTCTATTTGCCAGGAGGTGATAGGAACAGTGGCCATGATTTAGTTGATGTTGAGCTTCAGACCATTTTTGCGCTGTCCTCTTTCACCCTCATTAAGAGGTTCTTTAATCCCTCCTCACTTTCTGCCATCAGAGTGGTATCATCTGCATATCTGAGGTTGTTGATATTTCTTTGAGCAATCTTAATTCCAGTTTGGGATTCATCCAGTCCTGCCTTTCGCAAGATGTATTCTGCATATAAGTTAAATAAGCAGGGAGATAATATGCAGCCTTGTCGTACTCCTTTCCCAATTTTGAACCAATCAGTTGTTCCATATCCAGTTCTAACTGTTGCTTGCTGTCCCACGTATAAGTTTCTCAGGAGATAGATAAGGTGGTCAGGCACTCCCATTTCTTTAAGGACTTGCCATAGTTTGCTGTGGTCCACACAGTCAAAGGATTTTGTGTAGTCAATGAAGCAGAAGTAGGTGTTTTTCTGGAACTCTCTGGCTTTCTCCATAATCCAGTGCATGTTAGCAATTTGATCTCTAGTTCCTCTGTCCCTTCGGAATCCAGCTTGTACTTCTGGGAGTTCTCTGTCCACATACTGCTGAAGCCTATCTTGTAAGATTTTGAGCATAACCTTGCTAGTGTGTGAAATGAATGCAGTTGTACGGTAGTTAGAGCATTCTTTGGTACTGCCCTTCTTTGGGATTGGGCTGACTACTTAACTACAAACTAGTTCCATTAAAGTTGGTCAGAGTGATTGGGGTTTTTGCTGTTGATGAAGAAATGTATATATGACCATAGGATCAAGTTGGGTCTATGCCATACCAGTCTGCAAACAAAGACCAACATTAAGTTTGGAATACCAGTAATCTGTGAGTTCATAGATTAAGGTTGAAACACAAAATGTTGCAATGTTTTTGAAGGAGAAGAGAAAATTAGAGAAACAAGTAAATTTTGACAAAAACACAATACCCATGACAAAGAACTGGAGCTTTTGCCTATAATTATATATGATCAGAGCTGCCCCTGCCATTGGGCAAAGAGGTATGGTTGCCTCAAGTAACAGATGCTGGGTAGTGTGGAGGAACCAGCGCTGTTTGTCCCCTCACTGTTTATTTCCATTGAAGCTCTTTGTCTAGGGCAACCTGCCCTACGTCCTCTAATCTCACCTGTTCTCCATAGGTGGCACGGAAGAGGTGGTCCTATCACTGATATCAAAGTCAAACTCACCTGCCAGGCTGATCAGCTTCTGTATGTGGAATGGGGAGGGAGTGCTATCTAGTTTTTCTCTTCAGGTGTCCAAACATCTGGAGATAGTACTATAAGTATTCAGAATGCAGAAGCCAGTATGTAAGTTGCAACTAGAGTAGACCCATTGAATCAGTGCAGATTTGGTGAGTCGACTCCTCTGTAAGTGCTATTGATTCAATGGGTTTAATTTTGGCTTATTTCACTTAGCAATAGGATTTCAGCTTGCATTTTTGCATGGCAACGCATGTGGCTTGCTTTGAAGCAGAAGTGTTGTCAGGAATACTTGGATTGTGATAGTTTCATTTCAACAGTTCAGTGGTTTAGGTATCTGGCTGTGAAGCAAAAGGTTAGGAGTTCAGTTCCCCACTGTGCTTCCTGGGAGGGCAGCCAGCCTGTGTGGCTTTGGACAAGCTGCACAGTCCCAGGGCATCCCCAGAAGAAGCAAATGGTAAACCATTACTCCCAGTGATAAGATTGGCCCTGGTTTTGGCACTAAAGAGGGGAAACTCATGAGGTACTCATTTTTTACCCTGTTGTGTCAACGTGTAACTTTCATTCACTAATGTTCTGAGAAAATCCTCAAGGTCCTATTATTGTTAGATGATGCCGTAAGATAAAATGCTCCATAGACAAATGGAAGTTCATGAATATGAACATGATTAACAATTGGCAGTGACTATCCTGGTTGTGAATGATGGGGATTGTCCTTAATACACCTAGAGGGCACTAAGCTAGGGAAGATTGGACTGCTCCAGAACTTGGCAATGGCTTGCCGAAGACTGGAGTGGAGTCCGTAGGTCTTTGCTAGCTTTGTAACCTGTGATCTTTTAATAGGAGAAAGCAGTGGAAGGTTGATCTTGTATGAGTTTTTACCGTCAAACTATAGGCTCATCTTTTAAAATAATTTCTTAAGATTACTTGTTGGTAAGACTACAAAGTTCACTGTGGCTTTAAAACAATTCTGTTCCAATTCAAAAGGGCAGACTTTGTAAAACATTTGGGCCGGGGGGGGGGGATTTAATAGATCTTGTTTCCCTTAAGAACATGCTCTGGAGAACACGTTTTATTGTTACATTATTAATTCTTAGCACTCTTGAATTGGGGGTGTGTGTGCAGTCCATGGAACCGTATGCAACCCACCAGAGGCTTTTCTAAGGCTCCCCCCATGTGTGTGTGTGTGTGCGTGTGTGTGTGCGGTCCGTGGAACTGTATGCAACCACCAGGCGCTTTTCTAAGGCTCCCCCCGGTTCACTCCAGAACATCTCTGCTGGTCTCCTGTCCAATATTTATATGTATCTGTTTGGCCAGAAAGGTCTTTTTTCATGCCTAAAAACCTTCAGGAGTGGCAATTATACCATCACACCACTTGACCCTGCTGCCCTAGACTCTGCCCCTGCAAACCCAAAACAATGGAAATGGAAGGGATATCTAATCACTCTTCATTCTAATATTTTTTCATTTTGCCCCTGCCATTTTTGTGGGTGGCACAGTCTGCCCTGCATCCAGGAGGTGGAAATGTGGCCTCTGGAACCTGCGGACCTCCAGATGGTAACGAGGTCTTCCTACCACTGTTCCTCAGCATTGGCCAAGTTGATAATTGCTGATGAAAACTGCAGCCCCCACATCTGGAAAGCCGCAGACTCACTAGCCCTGCTGCAGAAAGACAGGGCACCAAAAGGGAGGTTGTGCAGGATAAGCTTTAGAAGTCCAACAGCAATGAACATAAAGAAGTAGATTTTAAATTGTGTCATTATGCCCTTTGTAGATGATGGAAGCTGGATAATGAAGAGCAAATATAAGTGGAAGCTGATCTTAGAATTAAATCTTATGTCATCCTAAGCCACTATCTTGAATCTCAGGAAATCCTGGTTGTCATCTTTAATTAGAGAATTAAAAGATCTCTTTTGTGCAAGGCTGTCTTAAGGCCTTGTAGGAGGCCCACTGGCACAGCAGTGACAGAAAACTCAGTTGTGCAGATTAGTAATGCTCAGGATGTTTTCCTAAGAATCGGTAGATTCCCACCCTTCTCAGCAATGTGTGAGTTTTGTTATTCATACCATTAACAGATCTTCCTCCTAAGGCTTATAATACATCTGGGTTGTGTCTCTTTGCTGTGCTTTTTAATAATTGTTTCATTATGAGCAGGAATCCCAATTAGACTCTCAAGTTCAATAAAGGATTGTTTAATTTAAAGGACATCTGTATTAAGAATAAAAATGAAAGGTCTTGTGGGGGGGGCAACCCCCTTCACATTTGCAATTAAGCCATACCTTTATTAGGATCAACCAAAATACTACAAAGGTGTGCAAGCTTTTGAGTTTGCCAGATGCCTTCATCAAGCTGTGAATTTGAGGTTTGAAATAGACTCTACACCCTAAGGCAAAGAATGCAAACAGCATAAATCTATGGCAGTGGTGCAAATATCGAGTTAGAACTAGAACGACAGACCGCTGGACTAATACTATGATAAATCTTTTCAAAAAATATTAAGATTTAAAATTCTGTTTCAAATTAAAAACTAAAATTAAATTTTAAGAGCCAATTTTAAATTCTTTTAAAAATGGACTTTCATCTACAGTAGTATGCCACCAAATTATATATGCTTATATATTTTTTTAAAAAAATCTCCTTTCACATCTTTCATAATTTTTCTAATTGTATCTTAACATTATAGGTTTCTTTGTTTGATATCCCATTTTAATCTTCTTGTGAGCTATCTTCTGAAGTAAAGATAAGAGAGATAAAAAAAATGCACACTCTTTTTCATTTTAATCAACTTTCATCCTATGGATTGGCTTCTTTGTAGCAAAAATATGCCATGCAAATGCAGAAATTATTTCAAGATGTTTGGTAAACTCAGTATTACAGTGTTGAAATTGGCCAGTGCTTTGAAGAGGTTAATGCTTTTTGAAGTAAAGAGAATTAATGCTTCCTGAGGTCTTGAGAAAGATAAGTTGTGCAAAGATAATTTTAAAGGGTTGTTTGTAGCAAAAAATTAATATAAGACCCTGTCTTATTTTTTGGGGAAACATGGTATGAAGGTTCAGTGTGTCGCCTTTGGCGAATGTTTTCCTCTTTCCCTCCCTCTTTCCAACATGGAGGATGTGGGAAAGAAGTGTCGTTCTGCTGTAACAGAGATGTGAAGTTCTTCCAGAAGTCGGGGTGGTGGGGAGGATTTAGAGGTTATTCTTTCTACTGAGTATTTCTCAAAGGAGCTTTATAGCACTTTGGTAAACAATCGTCTTCACATTTAAAGGAATTTTTTGGGGATGTAGAGGGTTGACATCTTGGTATTATCGATAGGTTTTAATTTGCATGATATCAAGTACGTGCCAAGTTCTTCACATGCTTTCCCCCTAATGCTTGGATTTTGGTTTTTATTCCTATAGGAGGTTTAGCACCAGACCCACCTAAAATAGCTTCTTCTGCAAGCCAGCCTGACCTTCTAGGTGGCTGGGAGTCTTGGGCAGATTCCCCTTCAGTTGGTACCTCGGCACCAGTGGCACCGAAGAAGGCCACTTTGGAAGGTATTGTCACAGAAACGTTACCTTATATTTTTAGTTAATTGGAAGAAGTACGTAGCACTTCCAGTATATGAGGCATGACTGCTGGGTGAATGGAATGCCTGTTTTTATATGAAACACTTTGCTGTGTAGAAACCCTGAAGCTTATTTATAAAAAACCCCTTTCCCGTCCAACAGTAGTTTCACAATACTAAATTAGGGTTGTGCAAAACATAGGCTAAGCCTAGTTTTCTGTGCCCATTTTTGAAGTTGGGACCTTGGCTGTATTTGCTGCTGAATTTTGGTGATATATGGTGCTCCGAAATTGCCTTCAAACAAAGCACATGGAAAATTTGTTCCTTGTTTCTATAGTATCCTCATTGTCTTTTGGTTTTAAAAGTAAACCACAGCTGTTCTTTCTTATTGTTTCTTCTTTGCTGGCATCACTACATTGTACAGGTGGTAGCAGCAGTTTCAGGTGTGGTAGTGGTACAATTGAGACCACCCTGGCCTTGGGGAGGACAACACATCTTGCCCTCATCACTGATATTCTCCACCCACTTATTGCATAAAAGTTAGCAAGAATCCTTAAATAAGTATCACACAATTTCAGAGCCTGCAAAGGGCTGAAGTTTCTTGTCAACAAATTCTCCCAAATGTGGGTAATCCGTATAACACAAATGAGTAGTGAGCGACTCCTAAACCCCAGCCTCTATTTTATATTAATGCTAAAGTTGCCGTGGGTGACACTACTGAATCTGTGATGCTCTTGTGGGCTGTGGTTTTTAACTGACTTCCCATCATGGTCACATCAGTTGGAATCTAAAATAGCAGCATTCAGTAGAATAAGGCAGGGGTCCCCATTCCTCCAGTCTGCGGCCCATGCCAGTCTGTGGCCTGGGCCGGACTGGGCCACAGACAAATCTACCCCCCCGCCGCACGCACTCCTGCCACCTGTACAGCCCCTTTGTGCATGTGCACAAGTGTGCAAGCACCCCCACCCCTTTACGAGTGCCCCCAACCACCCCTTCATGCACATGCCCGCGTGTGAGCCCTGCCTTCCCCAACCGGTCTGTGGAGTTAAAAAGTTGGGGACCATTGGGATGATTACACGTTTCATATGTAGGTTACTAATAAAAGAATCAAACAAGGTGATCGTTCACCAGATGGTCTGTAATTCACAACTGTATGAGCCAGAGATCGCCCCTTTATAGCAACTGAACTTGTGTGTATACAAGCGCTAGAGCATAATCCCTTCTCCCAGTGACACGTTAGCTGAAATCTTGTTGTTTAGCATAGTAAGTCACACTAGAGGAGACCCACTGAATCAGTGGAGGTTTGATGAGTGAACCCCCTGTAAGTTCCATAAATTCAAATGGGCCTACTCTAGTTGCAGCTTACTTTTACACATTAAGTTGCAAGTAGAGTAGGCCCATTTTTTATGGAAGAGTTGACTCACCATATCCTCACTGATTTCATGAGCCTACTCTAGTGCTGAAATGTTCTCTACAATTTGCAGAAATGAAGAGGAATCTGATCCTTATTGTGTTTATCCTTCCAGTTTCTTTTATTTTGCCAGCCTGAAAAATAAACTTAGCAAAAGTCAGCATATTTTAAATGTTGCAACATATATATTAGATAGATAGATAGATAGATAGATAGATAGATAGATAGATAGATAGATAGATAGATAGATAGATAGATAGATAGATAGATAGATAGATAAAATTAGGCATGTATACAAATACAAATATTGTGGCAATACGTTTGTTCATATAGTAAGTCTTCCATGTTGGGAACAAAACAATGTGCAGTTTGGCACGTTGTACAAAATCGTCTATTATGATTCTACATCTGATTTCCACCGTGAGAATAATTTGCTCTCCCTTGGAAACACTTTAATAATTCTAGGCTGTGATTTCAAGCTATAAAATCGCATCTCAGCCTACAACTGGAAGAGAAGGCTAATGACATGGGAACATAGGAGTATTTGTCAATGTGACATTTTATCCTGTAATAATAATTACATTTTGCTACATAGGCCAAGCTTTTACGACAGGCGGTCCAACGAGTGTTTCCTCAGGCCTTTCATTCAGTCAAGCAAAATCACATAACTTTGACCCTTTTGCTGACCTTGCTAACCTGAAAACAGGCCTTCCAGGTAAGTGTGTGAGCGACTAATAAAAGGAAAACATCTAGTGAACGTGAATATCTCATCTGTCTAGGGTGGTTAGCATATGTAACTCCCTAAAACACAGGGGTTGGTTTTCAGAGTAAAATATGGTCTTCTAGAAACAAGGAGATTGAAATTGAGCATCATCATCTTCAAATACAGTTCTAGAAACAAGGAGATTGAAATTGAGCAGCATCATCTTCAAATATTTCATGTCCTGGTGTTTAACACTGGTTGCCTGACAGGTCAAGAGGCTGCTTGAGACATAATTGGAGGTGTGTACTCTTGGGAACACAGTGTAACTAGGACAATTTTCTAGTTACAGGGTGTTGTTGGCATTTTAACATCTCTGAAAGGCTAAGGAACAGGGACTGTGTTTGACGCACATGTAACAAGCTTCTTGACTGCTAAAACCTCTCAGAGGGGCCCTAGCCTCCCTCCAGCCCAGTTTCAAGGTGTAGAAGCCATTGGAAGAAAATCTGTGCTTCAGAGATGCTTTGTGTAATTGATTTTGATAGCCAAACAGGTCCAGGTTTTTATTGCGACAATTTTCAAAGCTGTCATAAGTTCTTCTCTATATTTTAATCTTGCTTCCTGGATTACATTCAAAGTCAAATACTCGCCTAATGCTACCAGGAGTAGTACGCTTAGTCGTCCAGCTTATTTTCATTAGTTAGCCTAAAGGTCTGAATAGACCTAGAACCGGTTGGGCTCCCCTCCTTTGCAGAGACTGCTTGACAAGATACCCCTATTTTAAAAACGAGCATCTCTCTCTTTCTACTTTTGCACCTTCTCAGCCATAGAGTTTGGTCATTGCCATGATGTAGCTCAGTATCCTGCCTCAAACAGAGGACAATGAAATGCCCTTCTCTGTTCAGGGCATCCAGTACTCAGAGAGTTCATCATTTCTGACCATGGAGCATTGAATGTGTAGGGCATCATATTACCAGTGAGCTCATTGTTAATAGTCGTAGTTATTTATTTTTAGAGCCAGTGTCTTTTCCTTCAGCAGAAGGACCCTTTGTTCTACCTTCGCCCAGTTAACTGTTGCTTTAGAGACCCTCCTGAAAAGCCAATAGAAATGCCAATTTTTCCATTTGTCCCATCAGGCTAACATGAACTGCAGTGTCTCAGAGAGGCTCCTACCTTTTATCACCAAGCTTGTACTTCACATTGTCGGAGGTGCCTCTGTGCTGCCTTTTCACTTCAGGGTGCAGCTCTGAAATTCTGCTGTTGGAGAGTGCCACCCGATTAATAGCTGAGCCATCTCTGCCATTAGGCAGAATACAGCAACTGCCTCTTCTGGTAGATGTTTGGGGGTAATCGTAGTGCTAGTATTTATTTCTCTGCCTCTTGAGCCTCCTTGCTATTACCCTTTCCCGGAGGGCAAAGCTGCATGTGCCGTGCTGCCCACCCTCATCCCCTAAAATAATCTAGTCTGAAATTGACATATTTGAGTGGTTTATGAATCCTGATAATTAAATAGACGAGGAGTTTTCTCCTGCTGTTGTGTGCAATGAAGGACACTATCTCTTTGCAGTGCTGGATTCAACAGGCAGTCCAGCCACCTTATGTATCTAAATAGGGGTTGGGGGGGGGCGGGCTTTTCTTTTGCTTTAGACAGTAAAAAGTCAAAGACCAGCCCTGATTAATAATGCTGATGCACCCTTTGGCTTCTTTGTGTACTCACTTGTTTAGATAAAAAAAGAGAGTTTCTTTGTCCTTTGAAACAAAGGGTGGGAAAGCTAACCAAGACCTGATCCTTGCTGTCCAGGTATCTCTAGTGGAGGATTCCCAGCTGGCAGTTTCCCTCCAAAATCCACTCCGTCTCAGAAAGCAGGGAATCAGTGGCAGGCAACCAAACCACAGGCGGCGGCAGGCACATCATGGCAATCCCAAGCACAGCCGAAACCACCGGAACAAGCCAAGCCAAGCGCCCAGCCAAAGCCCAACTACACGGTGAACTTCAGTGTTATTGGAGGGCGGGAAGAGAGAGGCATCCGAGCCCCTGGCTTTGGTAAGTTCCTCCATCTGATGATGACTTGTAGGAGATTTTGTAGGCGCAACCCTATATGCAGCAGATGGGGGAGTGGGTGGGAATGTGTTGGCCCTTCAGATGTGTGCTTCAGGTAGCCCAGCAGCTGATGGGAAGACAGCCACATGGCCCCGATCCTTGGGGTGACCAGTAAGCAGTAAGCACAGTCATCCATTTATATAGATTTGTATACAAGTGTGCATCTTTATTGTATTGTAACCCTGTCCAGGGTGTTCTGGTTATCAAGTAATCTAACAGCATAGGAAATAAAATAAATCTGCTTCTGAAGGACCCCACATTCCCTGCATCCCTGCTATACTCCCCGACCTCCTAATGCCAATAAAGGTTTATCGTATCGTACTCCCCAACCTTAGAGTATGTCCCATTCTTCTCAATGGGAGAGATTTCTAAATGCACGTGTAACAGATTGCATTGTTAAGAACTGATTGCGAAACTTTTTTGTTGAACTATGTAGAAGAGAATATTCACAAAAATATAGTTTACCTTCATTTTTTTTCATGTTTCCCTGTGTGTCATTTCCCCACATGTCTTTATGATGTAGGGGTTGGGAGGGAGATCCGTTAATGTAGATCTCCTGCTTTCATTCTCTAAAATACATTGGACTGGATTTGTATTTAGAGTAAATCCAGCAAAAGAAATGGGATTCATTTATGATGTCTGATTCAAGAAGCATAATGGGACTACTCTAAATATGGCTGAATTTGGATCCAGCCCATACAAATCAGGTTCCCTTATTTTTATCTGACTTTCAACAAACCTTAACGGCCATCAGGTCATTGTTGATGTTGTTATGTGTGCCGTCCGGTCCTCTCTGACTTAGGGCGACCCTACGAAGGAGAGATCTCCAACATGTCCTGTCCTCAGCAGCCCTGCTTTGCACTTGTACACTTGAGTCAGTGGTTTCCTTTTTGGAGCCAATCCATCTCATCTTTGGTCTGTGCCTGCAAGGAAATGGGCTGTTAATATGTAAATACTTCTCAATGACAGTAGATTATGGTAAATACAGTTTCTTCCAGTGGAGTGGGGTGTCAGACTAGAACTCAGGAGCCCTGGATTCAAATCCCTGCTCAGCCGTCACAGCTCATTAGGGGGTGGCATCAGTAAAGCCATTGCTTAAGTATCTCACATACCTTGGAAACTGTGCTATGGTTGACATGAGTTGGAGTTAACTTGGTAGCACTTAATTACTAAAAAGTATATGCAGCGGGTGGGGAATAAACAGTTTTTTTTTAAAAAGATGCTGTCACTTTCGACTGGTCAAGGAACTTCATCAAGTTAACTTGGTAGCACTTAATTACTAAAAAGTATGTGCAGCAGGTGGGGAATAAACAGTTTTTTAAAAAAAGATGCTGTCACTTTCAACTGGTCAAGGAACTTCATCGTTCTTGTTTTATTTTACTAGGACAGAAGCCCAAAGTTTCAGAAAACGATTTTGAGGACCTTTTGTCAAATCAAGGGTTTGCAGCGAAATCTGACAAAAAAGGACCAAAGACCATTGCAGAGATGAGAAAGCAAGAAATGTCTAAAGATATGGATCCTCTAAAATTAAAGGTTAGACTTTTTATACGGAATTCTTGAGTCACATTGCAAATTTCTTATGCGTGCCAGGAGCTAACGAGAGTGTATAATTCAGTTTTCAGTGTGAGGGGTGGAGAGGGCAGAGGTGGAGGTGAGTTTGGTCGGTGAGAACTAGTTGGTGCTGGTAGTGTGGGACAGACAACTGAACAGTGTGGGACAGACAACTGAACTGACAGACAGCCGCCCGGAGTAATCAGTTGCCTAAATGGGCGAGAACTAGTTGGTGCTGGTAGTGTGGGAAAGACAATTGAAGAAGGCCAGGTTGCTTTCCCCTGATGTGAATATTATATACAAGTTAGAAATCAGAGTATTTAGTGCGGGGTACAAATTCAATAAATAAATAAAAAAAATAAAGAATGCCAGGTTGCTTTCCCCTGATTTGAATATTATATACAAGTTAGAAATCAGAATATTTAAAATAGAGTAGTAGTTACTGCTTATTTCTTTCTTTCGCTTTCTCTCCTAAGATTCTAGATTGGATTGAGGGAAAAGAGAGGAATATAAGAGCTTTATTATCGACTCTTCATACTGTGCTTTGGGAAGGTGAAACCAAATGGAAGCCTGTCGGCATGGCTGACCTCGTGACTCCAGAGCAAGTGAAGAAGTTCTATAGGAAGGCAGTGCTTGTGGTTCATCCAGATAAGGTGAGTGTTTCAAGCGCGTTCATCAGACTGCTAGTGACAGATTACTCCTGTTTACATAATGCCAGGGTGAGCAAATTCTGCCTGCCCAGATGGTGATGAACTCCCACTAGCCGTAGGTAGCATGACTCAATGAATCAGAGTTATCAGAGTTACATTCCCAACATCTGCACTTTGTACCATTTTCAATGCACTCGTTGCCCAGGTACAGAGTGCTCTCCACTATGTCCGCTAGGAAGAAAGTCCTTTTATACAGCAAAAGCAATGGCAGCTCATAGAAGGCACTTTGGGTCTTGAACTAGAGAGCAGAGAGAAACTATGGGCACTTAAGCATGTGTGTGGCCATCGCCACCTTTTGACCAGAGGAAGGAGCTACAGAGAGGCCGGTCACTCTAGCAAAGAATCTTCTTGAGTAGGCTTAAGCAAGTGAGAGTTTCACACTCATCTACCATCTAAAAAGGGCACATGAGCAGCTAGGAGAAATCTGCTCTCGCTGCTTTCTCGTTCTCCTGTTGTTCTTTTGCTGATTTGACTGAACAACAATCTGACAGAAGAGGTCTGACACAAGTGTTAGTAAAATAACTAAAAAAGCACACCATCCTTAACAGTGCAGGCACAATTAACAGAGGAAAAGAAACTGAAAACTAAGGTAGAAAACAACAAATATTGTAGCACTTTAAAGACTAGCACATTCCTTACAGGATCAGCGTCAGTAGATCAAAAACCACTCCTTCAGTTGCAAGTGGATTTTGATCCACTTACACTGGAATGTGCCCGTTCACTTTTAAAGTGTTGCAATGTTTTACCTGTGTTCTTTTTTTCCTTTTCCCTCTTTAATTTTGCTGAGACAGACTAACACAGCTGTATCTGAGGAAATTCCTTAAGAAGATCCAATAAAAGGATCAGATCAGAAGGGTTATATAATGAAATGCTATAACCAGATACAAAACCAAAGTAAGGACAGAAACTGCAGCCATAGTAAAGTTTGCTCCAAGGGCCTCTTTGAACATTTAGGCTGCTTGTCCGTCTCTCTCTCTCTCATGGCTAGGCGACACTGCTTCCATGGCAGAAGCAAGGGTGGTTCCATGCTTGGGGCGTGGCTTGTCCAATCTTACTCCATCTCCTTCTGCCCCATCTCAGTTTGCAGCGCTGTCTTCAGTTACGTTTGCCATTGCATTGGTCCATAGCGCAAACCTTGTTCGTCCTCTAGTCGTTGGGGAATGGGGGTGGGAGGACAGACAGTGGTGAGAGTGGTGCATCACTGACCAGGTGGTAGCCATAGGATGGCCTTCCTTTTGTCTTCTGGACTTAATTCTAGAAACAAGGGCAGTTGCTCTTAATGGAGATAGAGGCTGTTTATGCTGAAACTCTTGTTCTCTTATTCTTTGCAGGCCACGGGGCTACCTTATGAACAGTATGCCAAAATGATCTTCATGGAACTGAATGATGCGTGGTCAGAATTTGAAAACCAAGGCTCAAAATCCCTTTTCTAGTGCACCTCCTTTGCGAGACGAGGGAGTAGCTTTCAAAATGTATCGGCACCAAAACCGAATCGTGTGTGCTGTTCGTGTTCCCTCCGTAGATCGAGGAGCCTGTCTCTGTGTGGGGGATATTTCCCGGTTTTTGCACACATTGAAACTCAGCACTCGCAAACACGGGTGTTTCTTGCAGGGTGTAGAATCCAAAAGATTACACCGGTGGCACTCTGCTCCATCAGTATGAGGAAGCTTCTGCCCTGGGAGTGCAAAGTTCCAGGCCAGCTGAGATGGGGTGGAATACGCCTCTAATTCGAATACTAGCTGTTGGCCTGGGCAAAGTTTGCTGTGGGGAACATCATCCACTTTGAATCCTGAATTATTAATTTAACTCCCCTCCCCTCCCCACCCCCATATTTGAAGAAACACACAACCTCTTGTTTGCATTTCTGTTCCCCCCCCCCAGGTAGTCCTTGTGATTTTTCATTTTGCTATTAACTTGTTGGCCTTATTCAAAGTGCTTTAGTTTCCGTATCAGCTTTGCGTTTGCTCAGCGTCTCTTGTTTCTGTGAGAGGTGTACATTTTCTTCTTCTTCTTCTGTATTTTATGTAATCATTCCGATAATCATCCTGTAAATAATTAAAGTGTTTTTCTGACAACACCTGCATTCCTTACACTGCATTGACAGTTGCTTAGCCAAAATGCTCCTGTGGGGTGAAAATTTGGCTAAGGCAACTTTTGGGAGGGGTGGGGTTGAATCTATGAAATAGAAACACGGGGACGGATCTGGGCTTTAATTTAAGAACTGCATGGCCTTGCCTTATTTATCATGGTTTTTGGAGGCAAGACTATGCTAAGTGTTAATTGTAGAGTGTTAATTTGAAACTATATGCATCATCTCTTTCCCTCCTTAGTTTACTGAATGGGAGGTGTCTGTATCTTCTGTTGGCAGTTAGCATATGTGCTGACATCCAAAATGTGAGCGTAGTGGTTTTTTGCTTTGGTTTTTATTGAATGAAACTGAGTAAATGTTGTGTCGTTAGCTGCCATTTTGAAAGTGTGTGCATGTTTTTGTCAGCCATGGATAACTCCTGCTCACAGGTTTGATAGTTTGTGGATTAAGATGTTTGTGTGTGTGGTTCAAAAGTCCATATAGTTCTCACTGTCTTCAAAACAGCCTCAGACTTCTTTTACCTTTTGATCCCCTGGCTAGTTGTAAAAGAAAGGGATCTGTGCTTTCTGTTTCCTTCTGTAAACTGAAGGGTTTAATACAATACTCAGTGCTGAGTATTAGGATTCACTTTATGCAATCAGCATTATGGTCTAGAGAGCTTGTGTTGGCCTTGTAACTATTGTCATTCAAGTTGCTTCAAGTGGGATCTGCCTCCAAGTCATCATCATAGTTTGTTCAGCTGGTTTTAAAGCTTCTTCACTGAAACAACTGATTTGGAATAGTCAGAGAGGAGTATTTTTCAGATGCTGAGCTTCTGGACAAATTTCATATAGAGCTCAGTGAACTGAGACTTCACAAAGACCTGGCTTTTAATTCTCAGATGACCTGTTCTGTTCTTCAAAGGAGTGGATCAAGGGGGATTGGTTGACTGATGCAGAAGTTGCCATTATACAACCTGTCTTCTTGATTGTAGATTGTACAGCCAGGTAATAAAAGACTCCCAAATTTTGGTCAACCTGGGAAAGGAGTACAAACCCAAAGATTGTTGAAGTGTGGAGTATGTGTGTGCCATGTTTTTTTTTAATTGTCATTTTTATTTAAATGAAACTGCAGGCATTTTTTTTAGAAAACCTGCATTGTAACTCAAACTGGTTAAGACTATTGGAAAGGAAATCAGATGCTTGGGCAACCAGTGAGCTGACCTATTGACTGTGTCAACTCAAATTCGCACCCATCCCTAATGTCAATGTTATACAGACTGTTAAATCAGTGGATTGTCATTCTCTCATGATATATACTTGGAAAACAAGGTGGTGGTGCTTTTCTTAGGGAAGACACTCAACCACATTGGGATGTGGTTGAACATGGCCTCCTTCTCTTGTGGCATTGGGTGCCAAACAGCTATATGAGCCCTGTGATGAGGCAGCTGCGCTGAGTTATGTGTTAACAGTTATTGGTTGCTTAACTTTTTGGGGGGGGGGCACAGAACTCATGTGGATTCCACGTTGCTCTGGATGGTACTTGGGCTATCCAAACATTGCCCTATAAGGAACTTTCTGAATTTGGTTTTCATGAACTCGAACTGCCTTTCATTCAAGGAGCCATTCAAAATCATCCTGTATAGATTCCGTCAGTAGGGTTTTTAAAACAGTTTTTATTTATTATATGGGTCTTAGTTGTCCAGTGTTGATGAATGAGCTGAATTCCCCAATGCCTTTGAGAATTGTAAAGTGGCTGAGAAGACCATATCAGTCTTGAAGGTTGAAGAGGAATTCAGAAGGTTAGAGCTGTCAAAGTTTTCAGTCAACTGGGCAGTGTGGTGATGGCAACTGCTGGAAAAGAGCACTTTATATAAGAAATTTTGGGAGCGTAAATTAAGGGGTCACTGCAGTCCATGTTGCACCGCATTTCTTCCAGCTATGGAAGAATGTCTCCTTGCAATATTTGCTTCTCTGAGAAGATTCTGGTTTTGAGAGAACTTGGCCTAAAGAACAGCACTGCATTTAATAGTACAAGTTCATGTTCAGTGTTCCTATGCCGACCCCATGTTCATGCAAAAGGTCCGGTAAAGGAGGTCATACTGTTGTGATAGGCAGCATATCACGTGGGCCAGCCATATTCCAGATTCCACTTTTTTCAGCTGCCTTCGATTCCATTTTGCAGGAATATGTGGTCTAATGGATGGGAACATCAGCATTGTGGTATAGGATACCATACTGTGTGTATACTATTAGAAAACACAATTGAAAGGATAGCTAACCCAAGAGGTCTTTGCTGAGCTGCCAGCTGGCATTGAAAAATGGACATGTTTGCTAACGCATTCACCATGTCTGGTGCTTTGTTTTGCCTGTAGTAACTCCGGGCACAACCACAGTTGCAAGCAGGGCCTAGAAATTTTCTCTTTTGAGGAACCTGCTGAATGTAACTCAGTATCTCCCCCCCACCCCCACCCCCGTTTTTGTCTCTTGGTGGATGGAACTAGTTTTGGAGAAGATGTGTATAAAATTTTAATGAACACAGCTCTCCTGTTTTAAAAAACAGCCTCGCATCAAATTCCTTCTCCCAGTGTAATCTGTAATAAAGCTATGTCTTGTTGTCAGGTTCATATCAGCGAAACTTCCCACATACTTTCAGGATGTTTGTAGCAAACATGAAGATTACAGATTACTGGCTTCTTTCCATGCCTCACCCCCCCCCACTCTGAATTAAATGCCTTTTCATAACTCTGCACCATGTTGTCTTCTGATGCTGCAAGTGCAGCAAATTATTTTGCAGGAAGACTCTCCCGAGCAGTTGTTCTACAAATATCAGAACGTGGTTACAGACAGAAGAAGTCTATTTCACCTCCTTCCAGAATATGAAGTTTTGTTGCTGCTTGAAGCCAGCATAGGCCATATAATTTGGGGATGGATAATTAAATGCATATCTCTTGCTTTAGGAAAAATCCATTGTTTTGGATGTTGGCCATTCTGGAACGTTGTCTTAACCTAACAGAAGATTTGGGCTTGTTGGGAAGGTCCCATCAAGAATTCCTTTGCATGCCGTGGGACTTGTATCTGATGTGTGATGCCCTGAGCCCCCGGGGAAGAAAGGAAAGAAACATTTTAAATAATTTTTGCATGGTTTGATTAGTATGTATTATATCGCATGGAATAGGAAAGAAACAAGAAACAGACCTTTGCTTGATGGAGTTTTCAGTTTTAAGTTTTAATGGGGAACAGGGACCAAAAAGAGGAAGAGAACAGAAGAGAGACAGTTGTCAGGTGGGATAACAAACTTCAGCAGTGGCCAACTTTAATGGTCGATGCTGTGGGTGACAGGACACCTTCTTTTAAAAGACTGCTTTGCTCCTGTTGAATGCTTGTGACTGAGATAAAAATAGGAGATGTGTAGGAACAAATGCTGAAGGCTCAAACTATTTAAAAAAATCTTCAGTTTTCTGACCACCACCTTTATTGAAGTTTTGGTAAACGGAGGATGTGTTCAAAAGTAGGCAGTTCAAAGACTGATTATTTTAAAGTAAGGGTGGGTGAGCTTTGAAGATTCCCCCCTCCCCTCCAAAATTGCACAGCCAGAATTGGTAGCAGACTCCTAAGATCTATTGCAACAGGCAGAAGATGCTTGTTTTAAGTGTTCTTGAAGGGGCCGGGGAGAAGTGGTAAAAGCAGGTGGGAAAGCCAAAGAAAAATTGTACCTGGAAGTAACTGGAAGTCTACCTCTGGTTTTGACTATGGGATGTCAAGATTTGGGAGGCTTTGAAAGGACTCTGTGATGCCCTGAATGCAAAATCCATCTCTCCAGGAACAAGAAAACATCTTTTAATATATTTTTAATTGCTTTGGGGGGGGGATAGGGGGCCAGAGGGGCCACAAAAAATAGCCATGAGACTGCATGCCAGCCACACATCACCTATGTGTTTTCTACCTGTTCCAGTCAATTCCTGGGGTTGAAAACCAAGAAAGATGCTTCCTACTAACTTAGGCCATTGGTCCATCTCAGTCAGTATGATTGACAGTAGCCTTCTTCAACCTGCTGTCCTCCAGGTATACTGGATTGTTAAGTCCCACCATGTGTCAGTGTGGAGTTGCAGTCCCAATTCATCTGGAGAGCACCAGCCATGGATTGAACCCAAGACATTCTGCGTGCATTGCTTGTGCTCTCCTACAGAGCTGTGCTGTCTTCCCATGTAGCTTAAAAAGAAGGGCTGTAGCCTAGCAAGACAGCCCAAGCTGTACCAAAAAAGAACTTTACCCTATTGTTGGCCCCGAATTTGCAAAACTCAGTAGGATGTCTGTGTACCTCCCCGTACACAGTCAACTCTGGCTGGAGTTAAGAAACTGCATGTTCCATTCATGTCGTTAGAAGAGCCCACCAGGGTTTCCCCCCCCCAAACTGTTCCATGCTGCTGCTCTTCTGTTTCAGTTCAGTTGCAGCTGCAGGTCAGTGAGGAATTACTCTTAAGGATGTAATGCCCTTCGTTGGTCTTTCAGACCCTCTAAGAATGTAATTAATATTTATCATCTGAATTTGCTAACTCGGCACCCATTTTTGTGACTTCCCTTTTCTTGGCCTGCTGCTCTCTCAGAGGCTCTGGTGCTGTAAAGCATGTTGAAGAGTGTGTTGAACCCGAATATTTCTTGTCGAGTTTCTTCAGCAATTCTGTGACCTCTTTCCATATTGCTTTTCTTCCAGTGTTATCTCCTCCTTACCACAAAGGGATGCTTGATAAGAACAAGTAACCAAGAAAGCAGTATTGTGGAATGAACTCTGTAAACCGTTATACTGCTTGTCTGTTTTATTTCTTTGTTTTAAATAACCCCCTTGGATAGTTATTTGACATCTTTCCCTTATCCAGTGAACAGTTGGGCTTATGTGCAGATGGAATAAATGCATGTACATAAGCAGTGATCCATGTTCAGGCCAAGGCTCCTGGACTAAAACCATTCTGGGATGTATATCGCCCAAGCAGTTTATACCAGAAACAGTAATGTGGCACATGTGAGGCTAAATAGTTTTAATTTTTCATAAATTTGCACGTCTAAGCACACTTCTTCTGAAGAAGTGTGCTTAGACATATGAAGGCATAAGCTGGTGAGTCTTGTGGGTGCTACAGTACTGTCTCCGCCAGTGTATATTGTTATTCACCAGACTTATCAGGGCTACCTGTTATTGTACATTTTTAAGCAAGGGTCTCTGCAGAGAGTGGCAGGAGCTGGGAATAAAGACTGCCTGAAAGAAGCCGCCAGGTTTACTAATATTTATGCCTGGGCAGTCCAGAAATCTCCTCCTCTCTGCCAATCAAATGATTTTGCACTTTTTTATATCTGAAGAGAGTTGGGGGCAGGCGATGGTTAAGGCCTGGGTTAGCTGAAACCTAGGTGCCTCTTCCATGTTGATATTCTTATTATGAACTGGAGAACCCTAGGCGCATAAGAGCTCTTTTCTTTCTTTTTCACTTCCACAGTTATCACTTTTATTTCAGTTGAAATTTTCTCTTGTTTTAAGGTGCAAGTAGATATTTTGGATTATAAGGAACTCCCACTCACTTTGGACTGCCTCGTTCTCCGGCGCAGTAGCCACAAGCTAACTGTATTAAGGCAATAAAAAAAGGATTTATCATTCCCACAGGGGATGGGGGTGGGGAGAGAGACAGTCCGGTTTCCGCATATTTCCCCTTACTTTGCTTCATTTCATGTAACCTGGGCACCCCCAGATTTTAGAAGAAAAATCTTCTAAAATAAAAATCAAATCAAAGCAGGATTTTGCGGCATCTTGGACACTTTTGGAAATCCGTCCTTTGGTGAATGTACTGTATATTGTCTTACAGAACTGAAGAACATGGACTGAATAAGGATTTTGCTCACTATTATATAACATCATCATTTCAAGTCCTTGTTATAAATTGTGTTGTGTGTTGGGGTGGGGGAATAAGTGGATGGGCAAAAGGGAAACAAATCTTATTTTTGTCTTCACTGGGGGTGGGGAATTGCTGTGTACTGATTAAGTTTGGTAAAGGTCAAATGCAAAAAGTATAAATGTATATGTATATAAAATGAACAGTGTTGCACCTTGTAAACAATTATGGATAATCTATTTGAATGTTTGGCACATCATGTCAAAGTATCTTGCTTTGAAGTTATGATGATTCAATGATTAAAAGAAATCAAACATAACTTCCCTTCTTCATAATTACAAAGACCAGGTGGCTCCTTGTGCATTTGTGATTTGATAACACCTCCACGTGTGTCTTATGCTTTTATTACAGATCCACCTTTTGTGTTCTGCTTAAAGCAACAGCTGTAAACAAGATTCTTCCACAAAAAGCAATACAGAGAGAGAGAGTCATAGATCTAGTTCACATATGCATATAGTTGGATTATTTGATACATGACTCCTGTCTGACAAAAGGGTACAAAGTTTGGGGGCTTTTTAGTTCAGTAAAATGCAAGTAACAAAAACATGATGATGATCATCATGTCAAATCATTTCAGGGTTTTCCAGGTAGAGAGTACTCAGAAGTGGTTTACCACTCCTTTCTTCTGGGGGTGCCCTGAGACGGCTCACCTTGCCCAGGGCCACTCAGGTTGACTCTTCTGCCAGGAGGCAGAATGGAGAATCAAACTCCCAATTTTTGGTTCTATCTTTGAGACAAGAGTTGTAGGAAAATGTGATATTGAGCAAATAGGTAAGAAGAAATTGTCATCATCTGTTAAAATACTTGAACCTGGGGTTATCTAATGTATATGGACAGTAGAGTCAAGAGGAAAGGAAGTAACTTCTTTGCACAGTTTGTAGTTAAAGCTGTGAAATTCAGTGGAGAGATGGCCATCAGCATGGATGCTTTGAAAAGGGAATTAGGCAAGGCAAGGAAAAACAATGGTTAACAGTCCTGGTGGCAATACACTTCTTTGTGGTCTCTGTGAATCACACGTGGGTTGTTTCTGTGCCTGCATGATACTCCTTGGAACATTCTGGGGGAGGGGGGGAACACACCATTAGACCAGCTCCTTGTAGTATGCATGCTCCTGTACTTCACGGTCAGACCCCAGTTCCCTTTCAGCCACCATTGGGGAAACATCTTGGAGCATTGGCTAGAACCTTTTTCATTGGATTGTTGTAAATAGTTCTTACCTGTTCATTGTCATCTTTGTCTACCCTTCTCTGTTGTCATTGTGAATCTCCCCTTAAAATAATAATAATAATATTCATCATATTTCAGGCATTCCTGCCCAGCGATTGAAGACAGCTTGTCTCTGAATAGCAGTTGCTAGGGAACAACAACAGAAAAAGGGTGTTGTTACTCATGTTTTCTCTGTGGGATTCTCAGAAATACCAGGCTAATCAGGAGGGGGAAAGTGAAATGTGGGCCGAGATAGGCCATTAATCTGGACCAGCATGATTTACATGTTCTGAGGATTCATAGCTGACTGAGTGAGCTGACTCAGCCAGAAAGCCCCCTGATGGTGGAGAGACCTAGAATTCACTTAGGATGTGATCAGACAGTCACAAAGATGCCACCCAATTTTACCAGAATGGGTCGCTTCATCAGGAGTGATCTTCCTTAAAGTAACCTTTCTGTCTGCCAAGGAATTGCTGCAGCCATCCCAGAAATGTCGAAGCCTTACAGCTGGATCAAAAAGGTCCAGCCTGAAGACGGATTAGGGTCAAGCTGGAGTGCATTTCCCCATATGCTGTGTGATCACTGGGAATTAGATCACAGTGGACCACTCCACAAACAGTCAAAATTGCGGTCTATTTCCCTTTGTGATCAACTGTTTCGTCCAGAGTAAAGAATGGCACAAACCAGAAAGCCAGTGGTTCATGATGGTTTGTGGCTACCCACAAACTATCATGAGCCCCCTGAAAGGCAAACCAGGTTGCTGATAGGCAGGTGGATACACAAAGGCAGCAGGCCTGCATTCCTGGAGCTGGCTGCTGCCTCTCCACATGTGTCCACCGCCCAGCCGATAGGCGGGTATATGCATAGAGGCAATGGGACCAGCTTTCTTGCCAGGAGCCTTCTGCTAACTCTGAAGATGGCATCAGTACAGGACCAGGTAGGCAGAAGCAGTGGGAAGAGGGCAGTCAGGCCATCCCGTTTGGTCAAAGTAAAATGAAGCATCAAGCAGAAGAACGTTCAGTGCTTCAATGGCATCAGTACAGGACCAGGTAGGCAGAGGCAATGGGAAGAGGGCAGGCAGGCCATCCCGTTTGGTCAAAGGAAAATGAAGCATCAAGCAGAACGTTCAGTGCTTCGTTTTGCTTCACCAAAAGGGGATCTCTGAACCGGGTCACAAACCGAACCCTAAAACAGCCTGGCTTGTAGGTTTTTCTGGTTTGTGGTTTGGTTCATGCCATCTCTACCCCAGAGTTTTGTTTCTAGCAACAGCCACACACAGGGTTGTTGGACGATCACGCGCAGAGTGTGAAGGCTGCAGCCCTCCCTGTACCATCATGGTTTTGATGGCAAGATGATTAAGATTCATGGGGACTACAAACTGGCTATAGTTCTGTTGGATGCACATCTGTGATAAACCAGGGGAGTTAGTAGAAAGGAGTACAGGCCTGTAAACTCATCACCCCACACCCAGTCTCTGGAAAGCTAGAAGTTGTGTGTTAAGACCTCCATGATTCACTTAGATTCTGCAGCTGATTGACAGCTTTATGATGATTGTGAAAGAAATGTAATACATAGAAGATAAGGCAGGAGAGAAATTTGAGAGGGGAGGATGGTAAGAGCCAGCATTCATGGGGGTGGGCGGGAATAATGGATTTAGGAAACAGAATGAGCCAAAAGGAAGATGGGGGTAAATATGTCTGACAAAGGAATTTGAGGTAAGAGAGGGAGTAACAGGAAAGGATTGCACATTTAATTAAAGAGACACTTCGTGAAAGAAGTTTTTTATGTGTTTATGTGATTTCACACTGCCAGCCTACTGTTGTTTTCAAATACACAGTTTAGGCTGTCCTTTATTCCCAATCTTTCTACAGTGTGAAGGTAATACCACTATTGGCAAAAATGTACATTCTTCCTTGTCCTGCTCTGCTCCAGTGTTCCCAGGTGGTGCAAATCACATCTCAGGTGAACTAGTGCAAACGATAGGAAATGCTGCATAAAAGGTGCTTGTGGGCCTCCATCCTGTTCGTTGCAAAGTGAGCCACCCACGGGCAAAGAGAATACATTCCATGGCAGTGGTTTCTGCACCTAAAAGAAACCAATGGACATCCAAAACATCGGGAAGCAGCTGTGAACTGTTGGTCTGGCTTGTAGGGGGATTCACTGGAGAAGGAATATGCTTTTGGTGAACAAGAAATGTTCATGATGAAGGTGAGTGTCAAAGACAAAAGGAACATGTGGATGCAGTTCAGAACCAGGGTTGGTTTTGCTAAGAGCACAAAGGCCAGAATAACCTGTTGGGTAACAACCTGATGCTGCCCTGGCCTCAGCAGGATCCACTTTACTGAACGCTGGCTCCCCTTCAGGCTGGTCCTTGATTCTTGAGGATGAGTCCAAGGCCACAAGAAGGAGCAAGAGGAAAAGTATGTGGCTTCATGGAGGGTCCAAATGTTGTTTTCCCTTCTTTCCTTAACTTTCTTGACCCCTTTCCTCAAAGAAAAGAGCCTCGTAGCGCAGTGGTTAAAACGCTGTACTGCAGCTAAAAACTGTGCTCACGACCTGGGGTTCAAATCCCAGGTAGCCGGCTCAAGGTTGACTCAGCCTTCTATCCTTTTGAGGTCGGTAAAATGAGTACCCAGCTTGCTGGGGGGGCAATGTGTAGCCTGTATAATTAAATTGTAAACCTCCCGGAGAGTGCTTGTAGCGCTATGGGGCGGTATATAAGTCCCCCCCCCAAAAAAAGAATGTTGTCCTACCTGTGTAACCACCTTCCTTGCTTCTATGTGCCATAAAAAAAGTGCTGGTAGCTCAAACCACATTCTCCTAGAAAGTCCATAACCAAATGCTTACAGAAAAGAAACGGAAGGCTAGGCATATTTTTCTCCAAGTCCAGCTGCCTCAGAGATCGGAGCATCTGTATTTTCTTCTTCGCGGCCTCTATGAATCTCACTATGGGTAATCTGCGCATGCGCGGAGCCTCGTCGGAATATTCTAGAGCTTCTGCGGTAGCAAAGGAAAACACATTAGCGTAGACTCCTCCCGCCTGGTATATGTACCTTGGCTCCAAGGCTCTCCCTTCAGTTTCTTTCAACTGCTGTGTTGAGAGCCTCAATCGTTGCTTCTGTGAGAAATCTGAAAACGAAAGTAGGAAAGTTATTGAACTTTATTTATTATCTTCTTATTTTCAAAACAAGATACGCTCCAACCTTAGGGCTGATGTGTTCCCCCCACCTTTCTGTTGTTTTCTTTTCAAAATTGGTTCTCGGTTCATGGCCTTTCCAGGCCCATTTAAAAGCTGTGTAGCCTGTGATAGCTCTCTGATGGCCTCCCTAAATGCCTTTTTGCCTTGGTGAGGCCATCAAATTTCCTCGTCCCCTCACTGCAAAAACTTTAAATGCAAAGTTCTCCACAGTCGCCTCTCTAGACTCAAGCTTCGGCTCTGGGAGCAAGTCCTAAAGCCATGGATGAAGTTGTTTCCAAAGCGACAAAACAGCACCCATCAGCTACTCCTTGCCCACCCAATCCCGGAATAAAGACGCAAGACTACAAAATTGGATTAAATATGGGCCACACTTTATTGCAAATCAAATAGTATCAGCCAATCAATAGTTCAAATATAAGGGGCCTGCTGTAGTGCGGAAAAGATGAAATGTAGGGGTAACCAAAACCCCTAGATCATAACTTGGGCGAGTCCCCGGCCCCCAGGTTCCAGCGGTCTACCAGACCGCCGGAACCCGGCCGCCGGCTAATAAACAGAAAAGAAAAAGGGGGGGGGTGAAAAAGCAGAGAGCAAAGCCCAGCCAAAGAGATGAAAATTAACTAAAAGGACTGCACAACGAACAGGAAAGATCAAGAGGAAATCTAGCCCTGAAAGTCGGGCAGGAGAAAAAGGCGCGAAAAGCAGGGAAGCAGAAAAGCGAGAGATACCCAGAAACCAGCCACCACAAAGAAAGTGAATAAAAGAACAGACCCAGTGACAAGAGAAGAGAAAAACCCCTTCAAGCAGGGCAAACTAAAGTAAAAAGTAAAATAAATAAATAAAAAAATGAAAATAAA